TCTCAAAGCGTGGCTCCTTGACCAGCAGCAGCTTTATCTGGGAATGGGTTAGAAATGAAGTTTCTCGGGCTTCACTCTGGACCTAAGACATCACAAACTCTAGGGGTGAAGCCCAGCATCCCAAGTTTCCTCTGTTATATGCTCCAGTTTGAGAACCACTGCTCTAGGACATTAACCAAGTTTGAAAGTAATAATTAGAAAACCGTATCTCATCATTCCCTTTTTTCCCACTGACCAAAAAAATCCCATTTTCCCATATGATCTTTTGACTTGTCTATATCTTCCTGTTGTTCCCTTGTTAATAAGTTAAATAAAACTTTGCTGTGTGCTTTTTTTTGTTGTTGTTAAATTGATATAACTGACATATAACATTAGTTTTCAGTGTACAATAAAATGATTTGACATAAGTATATATTGCAGAATGATTATGATAATATGTTTTATTAATATCTATCACCATACAAATTTGCCTATCCTCCATCCCCATCTCTGGTAACTACTGATCTAATCTCTGCATCTGTGAGTTTGTTTTTGTTTTTTTTTTGGTTTTCTGGGTTTATTTTTTTTATTCCACATATACGTGAGATCATATGGTATTTGTCTTTTCTGACTTATTTCACTTAGCATAATGTCCTCAGGGTCCATCCATGTTATTGTGAATGACAGGATTTTCTTTTTAAGGGCTGAATAATATTCCAGTGAACACAATAGAGAAAATATGGTGTATCTATATAAATACAATGGAATATTATTCAGCTGTAAAAAAGAAATCCTGGGGCAGCTGGGTGGCTCAGTCAGCTAACCATCCAACTCCTGGTTTCAGTTCAAGTCAAGATCTCATGGGTCGTGGGATCCGGCCCCGAGTTGGGCTCTGCTCTCAGCAGGGAGTCTGCTTGAGAGTCTACCCTTTTGCCCCTTCCCCCACTTGGGTGCATGCTCTCTCTCTAAAATAAATAAATAAATCTTTTTTAAAAAATTAAAAGAAGAAATCCTGACATTTGCAATACTTAAGTGTCTTTCAGTACTTTCAATGTTGTTCCACTGTCTTCTGGCTTCCGAGGTTTCTGATTTAAAAAATATATCATTGTTCTCCTGTCTATAATGTCTTGTTTTTCTCTAGTGGCTATCAAGATTTGTTCTTTATTATTTGTTTTTAGTAAACTATGTTGTGCCTCAGCATGTTTTCTTCACATTTTTAAATTTAAATTTTATTTTATATTTTTAAGATTTTATTTATTTATTTGAGAGAGAGAGACAGAGTGCAAGCACAAGTCACGGGGAGGGGAAGGCAGAGGGGAGAGGGAGAGGCAGACTCCCTGCTGAGCAGGGAGCCCGATGCAGGACTGGATCCCAGGACCCCGGGATCATGACCTGAGCTGAAGGCAGACACTTAACCGAGTGAGCCACCCAGGCACCCTTTCACATTTATTTTACTTGGGGTTCAATGGCAGTTTTGAATCTGTACATTTATACCCTTCATCAAACTGGGGAAAATTTCTGCCATGATTTCTTCAAATATATTTTCACTCTCATATTCTCCCACCTCTCCTTCTGAGACTTGAATCACACATACGTTAGGCCTTTTGATACTATCTCACAGGTGTGTGAGGCTCTGTTTAGTTTTTCAATATTTTTTCTTTGTTCTTTTTTTTTTTTTTAAGATTTTATTTATTTATTTGAGACAGAGAGAATGAAAGACAGAGAGCATGAGAGGGAGGAGGGTCAGAGGGAGAAGCAGACTCCCTGCCGAGCAGGGAGCCCAATGTGGGACTCGATCCCGGGACTCCAGGATCATGACCTGCACTGAAGGCAGTCGCTTAACCAACTGAGCCACCCAGGCACCCATTTTTTCTTTGTTCTGATTAGATCACTTCAGTTGATCAATTTTCAAGTTTACTTACTGTCCTGTATCATTTCTATTCTGGTCTTAAGGTGACCTTTTTATTGGAGATACTGTATACTTCAGTTCCAGTTCTTCCATTTGGTTCTTATATGTAGTTCATACTTCACTGCTGCTATTTCCTATCTTTTCATTCATTTCAAGGATATTGTCCTTTACTTCACAAAGCACAGTTATCATAGCCACTTTGAAGTCCTCACATGCTAATTTTAACATCTCATACTTCTTAGGGTTGTTCACCTCTGACTGTCTTATCTCTTGAAAATGAATCATATTTTCATATTTTTCTTCATATGTCAAATAATTTTGGATTGTATCTTGAATGTTAGAAATGTTACAGTTTTTAAGTATGGATTTTGTTATATACCTCCAAAGAGAGTTGATCATTTTTTTTTTAAAGACACTAACTTAAAATTTAACTATTTCTTGGGCAGCAGCTTTAATCTCTACTCACTTCTTTTTCTTCTACTTGGGCTGCTTGGAATTAGCAATGAGTGGCTAAGTGGTCAAGACATAGTTCATGCATAGACTCTGGGGCTCCCCTTCTGTCTCTCCTCACTTTTCAGTGGTTTGTTCTGTACTCTTCCCCTGCTTCCTCAGTCCAGAAAGAGGCGGGGGTCTTTTGTCAGAGTTTCAGCCTCCCTGTCTGGGTTCCTCCAAGTGTAGCCTGTCCTCAGTCTATAAGCCATAAAAAACAGGTTACTTCCTTTGGGCAAGTCCCATCTTCCACGGGTCTGCTCCCTCCTGAATCTGCTTGCTTTGGGTCACTCTCCAATGCTTTCAGGTGTTTGTTTTTGTATTCTGTCCAGAGATCACAGTTGTTATCAGAGGGAGGATTAGTGTAGGATATTGATTGACCATCTTGGAAGCACAATTCCACAGGTGTTTTAAATTTCTTTAAGTTGGAAAACAAAAATTAAAAAAACATATAGAACATAAATTTTAGACCATGTTAGTCTCATGGATGGTGGGAAATACTTTTTGAGACAAATCCCTCACCATGTCACTTATTTTTAAAAACTGGCCAACTCCTACTCATCCTTCTATGCTTATGCAAGGCATACTAAACATTTCTGGATCCCCTCCACTATGACTGCTGGGTAGGGTTAAGGTAACAGGTGTCTTGCAATGTTTTCATGTTACCTGGACTTTATCTCTGCAATTTCATATTACTGTAATTGCCTGCTAATGTTGCTATTTATCCCACTACATCGTGGGATTCCTTTTTTTAATTCAAGTAGAGTTGACACACAATGTTACATTAGTTTCCGGCACACAGCATAGTGATTCCACAACTCCATGCGTTATGCTATGCTCACCCCAAGTGTAGCCACCCTCTGTCACTATACTGACCCTATTACAACTAGGCTGTACCTTTCATCCCCATGGCTCATTCATCCCATATCGGGAAGCCTGGACCTCCCACTCCCCTTCACGCATTTTTGCACATCCCCTCCCATCTCCCACTCCCCTCTGGCAACCACCAGATTGTTCTCTGTATTTATGGATCCGTTTCTGCCTTTTTGTTTGTTCATTTTGTTTTTTAGATTCCACATAGGAGTGAAATCATATAGTGTTTGTCTTTCTCTGTTTGACTTACTTCACTTAGCATAATACCTTCTAGGTCCATCCATGCTGTCACAAATGGCAAGCTCTTATTCTTTTTTATGGCCATAATATTCTATTGTGTATATATACCACATCTTTATCCATTCATATATTGATTGACCCTTAGGTTGCTTCCATATCTTGTCTATCATAAATAATGCTACAATAAGCAGAGGGGTGCATATAGCCTTGAGTCAGTATTATTTTCTTTGGGTAAATACCCAGCAGTGCAATTTCTGGCTCATGTGATGTTGCTATTTTTAATGTTTGAGGAACCTCCACAGTGGCTGCATCAATTGACATTCCACTCTGGGATTTTTTCTTATTGAAGTATAATTAACATAAAATGTTATATAGTTTCACATGTACAATAATTATTCAACAATTCTATACATTTCTCAGCGCTCATCAATTTAAGTGCATTCTTAATCCCCTTTATTTCTCCTATGCACCCACCCACCTTCCCTCAGACAGCCACCAGTTTGTTCTGTTTTTTTGAGTCTGGGGTTTTGTTTGTTTTTTTTTTTTCCTTTGTTCTTTTGTTTCTTCAATTCTGCGTTGAGTGAAATCACATGGCATCCATCCTGGGATTCTCAAAGTAGGACATGGTCTTAATCATTTCAATGCCCAGCAACTTCCAGACAGGCCACAAAGACGAGCGAGGCCTGCAGAGTCCCAGATGAGGGACTCCCATTGCCAACAACACTGACAGCGAACCAGGGAGGCACCGCCTAGGGTGGGAAAGCCCACGCTGGGGGGTCAGCACAGACCAGCGGCCAAGGGAGACTGCACGGATTTGCAAGGCCCAGCCCGTTGCTCCGCCTCTTTGCGGCAGAGCTCAGGCCGGTGCAAACCGGCTCAGTGCCCCGAAGGCCGTTCCGCGTCACCCAATCCTCGGCTGGCCCCCACCTCCGCAGCTCTCCGTGGGAGCCCGGGAATGGCAAGTGGCCAGCTTCCCGGGGGGCAGCTCTGAACCAGGCGACCTGTACTGACAGCTAGCGACGGCCGCCGCGGGCCGACCGGCGACTGCCAGCGTAAGCGCGGGGGCGGGCCCTGGTCGGCTCCACGCCCCCGCCGAGCACTCACTCTGCCGATCGCCCCGGAGCCTGCGCGCGGCTGGGGGCGGCTGGGTGGAGGGGC